CCCTCCTGCTCATCCCCCCCACCCCCGGTCCCCACCTCCGACCTCAAAACTACTGTGGATGTTTAAAATATTCTTTAAAAAAGTAAAAAGAAGCCGGGCACAGTGGGCACGCCTGTAATCCCATTGGCTTGGGAGGCTGAGACCGGAGGACTGCGAGTTCAAATCCAGCCTCAGCAATTTAGCGAGACCCTGTCTCTAAATAAAATACAAAAAAGGGCTGGGGATGTGGCTTAGTGGTAAAGTGCCCCTGGGTTCAATCCCTGGTACCCCCCCAAACCCAAAACCAAACCAAGTAAAAAACTAAAAGGACAATGATCATCCCTCTTAGTTTTGGCCGATTCAGGGAGCCGTCCGGATCTTGTGTCCTTAATGGGGGCTTGACTCGCTGCCTGTCCTGCCTCGGAAGAGATTCTGGTGTGGGACGGAGCACCAGGATCTGCTGCTACTTTGCAGGACAAAAATGAGCAGGACAAAAATGATATCTGGCCTTATGTTCCCCACCTGGAACCCGTGGTGGAGAGGTAAATGGGAAGGGAAGGCGGGAGTTCGCTTCTCCTAATCCGCAACTCCGCTCCGGCGTCTCCCGGTCGGGCCCAAGCCTATTCTGCTCTCGGGCAGCGGCCCCTCATTTCGGGAACCCAGGACGCGGGTTAAAAGGGGCCGGCGGAAGGCGAGGGAGAGCAGGGATGACCATTTTGGCCAAGGCCCGCCCCTGAGGAGATGGAATCGGTATCTGGGCGAGAAGGACTGGTCCCGGAAGCGCACCAGGCGGCCCCGCCACCCAGTACCTGGTCCTGGAGTTAGAGCGCAGTCCCGACTCGGTCTCAGCTCCGCCTCCTCAGTTTTGTGGCCGCGCCGCCGCCAGGCCGGTTGTTGGGAGGGAGACACGCAACGTGCCATGCGCAGTCGAGGGACCCGGGGAGGCCGGTCGAGCTCCGCCCCGCCCCCGGCGGGTAGGGAAGCTCCGCCCCGGCCTGGCCCGGCCCTAGTTGAGTAGGCGAGAACGCTCCGCCCCTCCCCGGAAGTAGCGCACCGCCCTTTTACGGAAGCTCCGCCCCGGCGCGCGTTAGTGGGAATCACTGCCTGCTTGCCTTGGTTTCCGCTGGTACTGTGATCTCCTAAAAGCTGTAGCTCAGAAGTCTGTTCCTAAGTTCCCAGTTGCCCCTTTCCGCGCAGTGCCTGAGGGTATTCCGTTAGGAGGAGGGTCCGTTTCCCTAAGTGTGTGAAATCAAAGACATACCTGGTTATTTGTGCGACCTACAGGGTCCGAAAAGACCCCAGCCCCCAGGCTTTGCTCCCGCAGAAAGGGAAGTAGGGTTGTTTCTATAATGGAGTGTCAAGGGGACTAGAGAAGGGCAAACCAACTCTGGCTGCTGACTGGCTACTTTGAGGATTCCCCCACCCTGAAATCATTCTGTCTTTACGTGGAAAGACACGTCTAACACTTTTCTTCAAAGACATCGCAATTGCCTCATTTTGGCTTCCAGAGGAACTAGGGGAAATGTAAAGAGGAAACTCACTCTTTCTCTGTGCTCCAGAGGAAAAAAAAAAGCTCAACTAATGAGAACTACCTCCCACCACCATCACCCCCACCCCCTTCTGGGTCTTTCTGTTCCTGAATCCTTCCTCAAACCACAACTCCGAGATATATCTGGTTTGTGGAAAGCTATAATAAGAACCACGCCTGGTGGTATTTGGTACATGCCTGAGGCAAGAGGATCAAAAGGTCGAGGCCAACGTGGACAACTTAGTGAGACCCTGTCCTAAAATTCATTAAAAGGGTTGGGCTCAGTGGTAGAGCGCCCCTGGATTTTCAACCCCCAGTACCACAAACAAACAAAAACCCTATGACAGCATTTGCCATGATGGGGAAGCTACCCCAAACCAAGGTGTACAAGACTCTAGAAATTAAGCAATCATGGGATAGAACAAGACTTCCTCTTGTGAGGCTAGGTTTTTAGTGACTTGCTCAGTTCACTGAGGGGTGACTTTTAAATAAATTTTAAAATTTTATTAAACCCATTACGTGAATTTAAAGAGGACAGTTTGGTTTTGGTACCAGGCATTGAGCCCAGGATCACTTAACCACTGAGCCACGTCCCCAGCCCTCCCTCCTTTTTTAAAATAGAAAGACAGGGCCTTGTTAAGTTGCTGAGGGTGGCTTTGAACTCTCAATCCTCCTGCTTCAGCCTCCCAAACCGCTGGGATTATAGGCCTGTACTACCATGCCTGGCTGAGTTCAGTTATTTTTAAAAGATAAAGTTAGCCAAAAAAAAGTATGCAATAAAGATAATATCTATTTAAAAGTGGTGTAGTAGTAGCCAGGGTGATGGTGCCTGCCTGTAATCCCAGCTACTGGAAGACTGAAGTTGGGAGGATGGTTTGAGCCTCTGAATTAGAGACCAGCCTAATGGTAACATGTCGAGGCCCCACTCTCAGGGAAAAAAAAAAAAAAGTGATATTGTAGCATGGGCACAAAGTTCTCCCATCAGGGGAAAAAAAAAAATTAACTTTCTTCTGAAATTATTCTCAATTCATGTAGATGAGAAGACAGCATTCAACTTGTACAAATACAACGATACAACCACATACATGGCGCACACATGTTGCTTCAGTGATTTGGGAGGCTGAGGCAGGATTACAAGTTTGAGGCCAACCTTGGCAACTTAGTGAGACCCTGCCTCAAAATAAAAACTAAAACCAGATGTGGTGGTATGTGCCTGTAATCCCAGCAGCTCGGGAGGCTGAGGCAGGAGGATCATGAGTTCAAAGTTAGCCTCAGAAACTTATTGAGGTCCTAAGACCCTGTCTCTAAATAAAATATAAAAAAGAGCTGGGGATGTGGCTCAATGGTTAAGTGCCCCTGAGTTCAATCCCTCCTACCAAAATAAATACAAAATAAAAAGGGCGGAGGCTGTAGCTCAGTGGTTCAGAGGTAGGTGCCAGACACAGATATCACATTATCTTCCTTACATAATGAAAAAAAAATCTTTTTTTTTTTTTTGAGATAGGGCCTTGCTAAGTTGCTAAGGCTGACCTCAAATTTGCAGTCCTCCTGCCTCAGCATCACTGAATTGCTGGGATCACAGGTATGTGCCACCACATCTAGCTGTAATGAAATCTTTTGCTGACTACCAAACACCAGAAACTGGGAAATACTTTTAGCTGTTCTGTTTTAGCAGTTTATAATAGAATTCACTCCTGTGGGTATAGCTTTTCTCCCTTTTATATTCTTTCATATCATTCAAAATGAGTGGAAGGGACTGGGATATAGGTCAGTGGAAGAGTGGCTGACTGAGTTCAATCCCCAGTGGGATTGGAAAAAAAAAAAAAAGAGTGGAGGCAGAAGAGTAACAAAAAGAGAACTTGGTGGGGCTGGGGATATAGTTCAGTTGGTAGAGTGCTTGCCTTGTACTCTACCTTGGTTTAAGCCCCAGCACCACAAAAATAAAACAAAATATATAGGGCTGGGGCTCAGCGGTAGAGTACCCACCCAGCATGTGCGAGGTCCTGGGTTTGACCCTCAGCACTACATAAAAATAAATAAATGTATAAAAACAAACAAACAAAACAGAGAACTTGGGAGCTGGGATTGTGGATCAGGGGTAGAGTGCCCGCCTAGCATGCATGAGGCACTGTTTTTTTTTTTTTTTAATATTTATTTATTTATGTATCTTTAATTTTAGGTGGATATATTAGTTTGTTTTTACGTGGTGCTGAGGATCGAACCCAGTGCCTCATGCATGCTAGGCGAGCACTCTACCACTGAGCCACCATCCCAGCCCGAGGCACTGGGTTTGATCCTCAGCACCAAATAAAATAAAGACATTGTGTCTACCTATAACTAAAAAATAAATTAAAAAAAAGAGAACTTGGGAAGTTAATACAGTATTTCACTCCTCTCCACCAAATCCAACAGATCCTTATACAATAATAATCTTCACATTGCTAATTTCTACTAGATGGGTAGAACGAGAATATCAGTGTTTTTCTTTGGTGTAGGTTCCATGTAAAGAGGTCTACGTCTGGGACTTGACAGTGAGAAGTTTCCTATTAATAGAGAAAGAGAATCACGAAGGATTCCTCTCTTCCCCCCAAAATACCCTATCAATTTTGGCAGATCAATTCAGAGAACTCTGAAAGGATCTCCTTGGTTTCCACTGGGAGAGAGAAAAACAAGTAAAGCTAAACTGAAATCACTTGGAAAAAAGTCTTAGAGGGTACCATTTCTTTAAGACTTGTGGTGTTCCATCTGGAGGTGTTAGAGTTATTAGGAGGTGGAGCCTACTGGAAGTAAAGTTAGGGCATTGGGGGAGTGTCCTTGAATGGGATATTGGGACTCCAGCTCCTCCTCCTGCTTTTCTTTGCTTCCTGGTCACTATGAAGTGAGCAGCTTCACTCTACTGTTCACTCCCTTCCATGTTTTGCCTCACCATAGGCCCAAAGTGACAAGGATAAGCAAGCAAGGACTGAAATCTCTCAAACTATAAGCCAAAATAAATCTTTCCTCCTTTAAGCTGGCTATTTCAGGTGTGTCATAGCTACAGAAAGCTAACACAGAGACTGCAGGAAGGAACACACTAGTACATGCGCTGGGCCCAGAGACACAAGTCTGTAATACCAGTGACTTGGGAAGCTGAGTCAGGAGGATTGCAAGTTTGAGGCCACACTTGGAAACTGTCAAAAGGGCTGGGCATGTAGTGATCTTCAATCCCCAATAACAAAAAATTAAAAATTAAAATTAATAAAGGCTGGGGATATAGCACTGGTAGAATATTTCTGGGTTCAATCCCCAATACCCCCCACAAAACAAACAAAAACAAGAGGGAGCTCTAAGAATATAAAACACTTTAAAAGGGGTAAATGAACAACAAAATGAATATTCAAGATCAATACTTTTAAAGGAAAAGCATTTCAGTGCTGACTTTCACTGATCAGAAAAAACTTTCCTATGGGTGTATACTCTTGTAAGAGAACTCTAGAAAAGTCAAGGCTCACTCTTGAGATTTTGTCAATCAGTTTAATATATGTCCATAGGTAGTTCATTAGAATGCTTAAATTACAAAATTAGCTGCCATGGTCCAAATGTGTGGGACTTTAAGAAAGCTTATATTATTAAAAGATAGCTAAGCATATCAACTTTGATTTCTAAAATGTACTTTAAAGGCTTGTAGTACAATGCTAGTTCTAGAATTATATAGCACTAAATTAAATTTGTGTTATTTTTGTCATTTTAATAACTTAAATTCACAAACTGTTAAAAAATATTACATCTGCATCTCCCAGTTTACACATTTCTGTATTAACCTAGAGAAAACCCATGTGAAAAGTTCCCATGCAGTTACAAAGGCAGCGGTACATGCTGTTTTCACAGCAACTCATTGTAGTTGCCCCAGAACAGATCTGCACATAAAGCATCAACAAAAATCCCTCCTCCCACACCCACCAAAACACCCAACCCTTTCCCATCCCCAGCAAAAACTACCTGGTGCCAGCAGTGACTTAAAAAATGCTTTCTTAGTAGGAAGCATTTATAAAATGCAGAGATCTGAACAAGCCAAATGCTTGTACAGATAGATGGGCCTTTCCCACAAGAGTTTCTTCCTCAAGAGGCAGAAAGAACTCTCAATAGTTTAGGAAGGCTCAGTTTTTTAAGTATTATTTATGCATGTTTTTGGCTATTTGAAAGGACATACCCAGCCCCAACTGTAGAAGAGAAAAAGCAGAAGGAGAAGCAAAGGTACACAGCCATAACACAGCAGAGCTTCTCCATGAACATCCAATAGGTGGCATTAATGAAGAAGAAAAATATTTGTGACTTCACATAGACCAATGATCTGATTGCTGATCTGATATGGATGTAGCAATTAATTTTTCATGCACTTGGTACTCAAGAAAATAACATAAAACCTTTGAAAATACAGCATTCACATTGTCATTAGCTCATAGTATCAGATAAGGAGAAAACCATGCTCATGTACTACCTACCTCTAGAATTTTCCATGTACATATCAGTATCCTAACACCTACAGATTTCCTATAATACTGCTATCAGCACCTCCCACCTACAAAACATACTGCATATGTACTGAGTTTCCTGAAATTTCGTCACCACATATAATGTTCTAAATTTTACTTTTTCACAAGTTCAATGTACACACAGAAGAAAACATCAAGCAATGTTTATTGTGCAATTCCAGTAGTTATTTGTGGAATCTTGGTTTAGAGTCAGGTTCCATAGCTACTCTATCTGCTTAGTTTAAACAAAAAGCAACAACCTAATTATTTACCTGTAAATTTCATGATATTTCTTCAAACTTTAAAACATTAAAAGGATTGATGATTCATGTTATAATTTAAAAAATATTTGAAAACTACATTTTATATATCATTTCTTTTATAAAATAATCAAAATAATTTGATTATCTGGAAGAAAATTACTGAAATAGAGCCCTTTCAATGTATCTACAACCTCTGTAAAACTCCAGACCAAGAGCAGAATAGATGATGAAATAAGGATTTCTCAGCACAGAGAGTATCTGAACTTTAAAGTGAGAAAACGACTGGTGTTTTTTTATGTTTCCTATGAACTCAGAGCTTATAGGTGGAATTAGGACTCGGATCTCTGGGATGATTTTACATGGCTTTCACTTTGATTTGTTTCATTTTCATTTGCTTCTTCTCCAATTTCTTCTGTTCACGCCTCAATGCAGCTTCCTAAGACAGGAAGGAGAGAAAGAAAGAACCCAAACTTAGTTCTAAGCACATTAAAAAAAAAACAAAAACAAAAGCAAAACCTTAGGCCTGTAGCACAAATAACATTCTAGAAGAGAGTTAACTCTTGATAGTATAACAAATTGTTTCAAAGAGTGATTTGTAAATTCCTGGTCTGGGAACTATTGACTGTGTTAGGTTCCCCCACAAATAATAGAGAACTACCCACCAATACTGCAGTAAGTGAGAATGTTTATTAATTCATAGGTGTCCTATCACCTAAATAGTTGAAAAACTGAAATATCAATATTAATGCCACTTTAACGGAAACACATTCTGAGTTTGGGTTCACAAAGGAGGAAAGAACTCCCCCTCCCCTGCTCTGCCTACTGTGAGGGCCTAGTAGCAAACAGCTACAGCATATATGTCAAAAGCTATATTATTCTGGGACATTTATATAAAGTAGTCAGATATTCTCCCAACATCCTCTTCCCACACTCTCAATCTCTCTCTCCACCACCATCCAATCTTTCCCCAGCATTATCCATCCCTACTTTTCATATTACGTATTATACCCACATGTACATCTGCATCTCCCAAGATACTAGAATATAGTATCATGATTTAAAAACATATTTATGTTAATATATTTAAGTGACATCTTATGCCAAGACCATGTGAAAAATGCTCACCTTCAATAATTAAAAAATTGTAAAGCAAGAAACCATTTCCTATCAGATTTACAACTTCAAACAACTGATGTTTTTTCATAAAAGATGTTAGTGAAGAGATTTCATACAATGTTGAAAGTGTAAATAGATACAACTTCTTATAAGCAATATCCATTAAAAGTATTTTTCATAAACATGTGTATACATGCATACCTACATATTTATATATTTTTTATTTTCTGAAACAATCTTAGAAGAAATATATATTCACGTGTATGTACATATATACAGATATCTCCCAGGACTCTTTACCTTAAGAAATAAAAAAGCTCATATGTGGGAAGATATTACCTTCTTGAAAGACTTGTATTTATAAGCTGATTTACTTAAGAAAAGATAATATATACACTTAGTATATGAATGGATATATAAACAAAGGGAAAACTATATAAACAGTGTTATCTTTAATAGTGTTTATAGTGATTACCTTTAGGGATAGGGGGTGTTTGAGGGATTATTATATTATTTTTATATGGTAATTTTAACTTCTATGTATATTTTTCTCATTAAATATATAAGAAAACAAAACAAACAAAAAGCATCCTGGCAGTGGCAGGGATGTCTAGCTCATTTCTATGAATGAGCCATTCAAGTCAGAAATTGGCCACAGTGGCACATTCTTTTTTTTGGTACTGAGGATTGAGCACACAAGCCACATCCCTACCCCTTTTTTATATTTTATTTAGAAACAGGATCTCACTGAGTTGCTTAGGGCCTTGCTAAGTTGCTGAGGCTGGCTTTGAACTCACGATCTTCCTGCCTCAGCTTCCCTAGCTGCTGGGATTACAGGCATGCTCCACTGTGACTGGCCAGTGGGCACATGCTTCTTTTTTTAAAAATTTTTTTTTAGTTGTCAGTGGACCTTTATTTTATTTATTTACATGTGGTGCTAAGACTCAAACCCAATGCCTCACACATGCTAGGCAAGTGCTCTACCACTGAGCCCCAGCACCAGCACATGCTTTTAATCCAGTTACTTAGGAGGCTGAGGCAGGAGAATAGCATGTTCAAGGTTATCCTTGCCAAGTTCAAGGCTAGCCTCAGCAACTCAATGAGACCCTATCTCAAAATAAAACATTATAAAGGGTGTCGTAGCTTAATGGAAAAGCACCCCTGGGTTAAATCCCCAGTATTGCTAAACATATGAATAAGTAAGTCAGTCAGAAATTGATTATGAACTGGGCAGGGTGGTGAACACCTGTAATCCTAGCAGCTGGGGAGGTTGAGATAGGAGAATCCAGAGTTCAAAGCCAGCCTCAGCAAAAGCAAAGCACTAAGCAACTCAGTGAGACCCTGTCTTTAAATAAAATACAAAATAGAGTTGAGGATGTGGCTCAGTGGTTGAGTGCCCCTGAGTTCAATCTCTGGTACCTCCTTCCACCCAAAAAAGAAAAAGAAATCGATTATAACTTTTTATCTCAAATGTAGCTTCTATTCCATTTAGTTCACTAGATCTTCTCATAAGGTTTCCAGACCAGACATTATAAAGCAGTGGTTCTAGGGCTGGGGTTGTGGCTCAGTGGTAGAACACTTGCCTAGCATGTGTGAGACACTGGGTTCGATTCTCAGCACCACATACCAATAAATAAGTAAAATTTAAAAATTCATCAACAACTAATAAAAATATTTAAAGAAAAATAAAATAAAGCAGTGGTTCTAAAAAAAAAACCCCAAATGGTTTACATTCACAAGAAGCTTACAATCTAACTCAAGTTCTGGGTCTCCTTTTTCCTTTAACCCACTTTAGATTCGAATCTTAGAAAGAACAGAACTTCCTTTTTCATATAAAAATGAAAGGCATTACCTCTTAATGATTCCTATATATATATTTTATGTGTATACATTGAAGAGTCATTTCATTTATAAAGAAGACTGCATAAACATAGCTAAATTTTTAGGGGGAAATGCCCATCAGCTAACCCAAACCAAACCAAATGAAGCATGATGAAATCCAGGCACAGTGGCTTATGCCTGTAATCCCAGTGGTTTGGGAGGCCAAGGCAGGAGGATTGCAAGTTCAAAGCCAGCCTCAGCACTTAGCAAACTAAGCAATTTAGTGGGACCCTGTCTCAATGTGGTTCAGTGATTAAGTGCCCCTGAGTTTGATCCCCAGTACCAAAAAGAAAAAGAAAAAAAGAAAAAGAAACACAATGAGAGAGATGCAGGCAGAGTTATATCCTGGGCACTTCAGTTATCCTTGCCAAGTTAACACCTCACTGGCAACTGCAGTGCACACAGAAGCTCACATTTTTTTGGGCAACATGTGCCTTTTGCTCTGAAAGATTTTCTTCAATCTTCAAGATTATTCTCATTTAAATTCACAATTTCCAGGACTTTGTTCTCTTCTTTTTTAACCAGATGTATAAGTTTTAGTGCTGGATTAGGGCATCTTATTTCATAAAATTATCAGAATATGCTTATATTTAAATAACACACTAGAGCCTAAGAAGCTTACATTTGAGATAATAACTTGAAAAATACACACAAAAGTATTAGAATTCTCTGATTCTATGATTAAATCTTAAACTTTATATAGTAACTTCATTTAGTGCTGTTAATAATCCTAATTTCTGGGGCTGGGGTTGTGACTCAGTGGTAGAGTGCTTGCCCAAAATGTGTGAAGCACTGAGTTCGAGTATCAGTACCGCATATAAATAAATGAATAAAATAAAGGTCCATCAACATCTAAAAAAAATTTAAAAACAACCATGAAAAAAACAAAACTTTTAGCTTGTATACATTCCAATATAGGATTACATGAACAGCCAGTGTGGTACAAACAGGAATCCTTATAATAAAAATCTTAGTATTGCCCCAGTGATAAGGTAAGTCTGTCTTACCTCCAGTCTGCGTTGTTTCTCAGGATCTTCTTCGTTCATGATGCGCTCCTTCTCTGCTCTTTTCTTTTCTTCACGCCGGGACTGTGCAGCTTCCTGTCTCTGTACGTGTGTTAGTTTCAAGAAGTTCTCTTCTACTCGTGCACGGTTCTTATCTGCTTTTTGTTTGCCCTTTCCCAAAAAGACAAAGTCTTTCATAAGAAATCCATCTCTATGCCACAAAAGTAAAATTTCACTCAGAATTCTTGCATTAAACTATTTCCATCTGGCACTTTCAAATCATCTAGCAAAAATTCAATCATTGATAGCTGCTCCCTCTAGAGTCCTACCCAGAAAACAAACAAACAAACAATAATTAAAGGTATCAGTTTGTAATAAAGGCTTTGTGTCTTACTTCTCTGTTGAGTCGAAACTTTTTGGCTTTATCAATAGAATAAATCACCATGTTCATCAAGGGTAGCAAAGCCTCCATATCCTTTGGGTAAGTGTTACCTGATCCAGGCACTGGAAAACAAAGTCAATTTTCTATTGAGTTAATGGCAGCATTAATACCTGAGTCACCAAAAAAAAAATTTTTAATGTTAATAGACTCCTTTCTCCAAGTTTTCTAGCAGAAAATTAAAATACATAAAATGTGATCTTCTTGAAGAAACTCAGAAATCAATCAAATCAGGCATAAGGTTATTAGTTTTAATGTAATTTTACATCTATCAGTTGCAAAAGAACTATATCTCCTTAAGGTCATCTCATAGAAAACCAAGACAGGACCCAGAACACTTACCATTAAATGTAAACAATAGTGTCCTCTTAGTGTCAGGCAGCTTTAAAGGCTGACCTTCCCTGTCATAAAAGAAAAGTCTTTTAAGACACAACATAAGAAAGACATTTTCCATGTTCACAAGTCATCTGATTCATTTAGACAGATACCTGCAAATAATCAGCACAGTAAGTGCCTTGGCATCCCCAAGTCAAATATAATCTCTGGGCCTGAAGGAGACTTAAGGTCATCTGGTCTACTTGGCTATCTGATGAATGCATTCCCAAGTGACCTTTATCTTTCAATTTGAATACTTCCAGTGGTGATGTCCCCTGCAGGCAGGATATATTCCATCTCATCTGGGAAGTCAGAAATGAATCTACATTTAAGTATGAGGTCCATATTTTATATGACACTCGTAGTTTTGTGGGTTTTTTTTTTTTTTTTCAGTATTGAGGATTAAACCCAAAGACACTTTACCACTCTGCTAAATCCCCAGTCTTTAAAAAAAAAAAAAAAAAAATTAAAATAATTTGGAGACAGGGTCTTGCTAAATTGTCAAAGGTGGCCTGGAATTTGTGATCCTTTGGCCTCAGCCTCCCAAGTACCTGGTATTACAGGTTTGTGCCACCCTGCCTGTCTTATTTATTTTGATGAATTATATTTTATTTCCAACTTCTATGCTATCTTCCCACAATAAAGCATCTTACTTGAGTTAGCCTCTGAAGAAATTTAGAGATAATCTACTATAACATATAATTGGCCCTCCATATCTACGGGTTCTATAAAATATTTGGGAAAAGAATCTCATCTGTAATAAACATGTATTGTGCAAACTTTGTCATCATTCCCAAAGCAACAGCTATTTACATAGCATTTACACTGTAATAGGTATTATAAGCAATCTACAGTTTAAAGTACATGGGAGGATATGCATAGGTTATATGCAAAGAGTACAGCATTTTTATGTAAGGAACTTGAGCATCCTTCAATTTTGGTATCTGAGGGGAGTCCTGGAATCAATCCCCTGTGGATTTGGAGGGAAGACTATATAATTTAGTTCTGTCCTTGAAGATTCATTCATAGTCTTTGACTGCCAATCATCCCCCCTTTCTACAATTCAAAATGCTTGATAAATATTCTAATGTGATATTTTGTCCCTGGTGTTGCAAGGCAAGGATGATACAATACCATCTAGAGGGATATAATCTGAATAATCCCACTTACAACTAAAATCCAGAATGAGTTTTTTGTTGTTATTGTTTAGATGCTGGGGAGTAAACCCAGGGCCCCCAGATACCTTTATTTATTTACTTGGTACTGATGACTGAACTTAGTGGTATTTTATCACTGAGCTACAACCTCAGTCCTTTTGATCTTTTGGGAGAGGGTCTTCCTAAATTACTGAGGCTGGCCTCAAACTTGTGATCCTCCTGCCTCAGCCTCCCCAGTCACTGGGATGATAGCCTTGTAATTGTACTCAACTCCATAGCCCATCAGAGTAGTGTGCAACTGAAAATTTAGATTGGAACCAGTTCTACATGACAAGGAAACTTAAGGATGCCCTCCTGAGACAGACTATAAATTTAAGAATGAATCCAAGCCCTGAATATGTACACCTGGACAATATTACTATAAAGCTAAAAACCTGATTGGGAATAACTGATAATATGCTCGGAGAAGATATAATAATCACCTGTTTAAAGAAGGAAGCCAGAAAAGGGTATAAATGACAAAATACACAATTACATAGATTTGTAATCAAACAAAAGTCAAACATCATAGACAGATTAATATCATAAAATTTGGGGGAAAAAATGCTGGGTGTGGTGGTGCTACTTGGGAAGATGAGGAAAGAGGACTGCGAGTTGGGGCCAGCCTGGGCAATTTAGCAAGACCCTGTTTCAAAAATTAAAAACCAGGCATGGTGCTACATGTCTACAATCTCAGCGAATGGGAGGTTTGAGAGATTCCTAAGTTTATAGCCAACCCTGGCAACTTAGCAAGAGACTATCCCAAAAATAAAAAATAAAACTAAAAAGCCTTTTTATAAAAAATTAAAAAACCGGGCTGGGGATGTGGCTCAAGCGGTAGCACGCTTGCCTGGCATGCGTGCGGCCCGGGTTCGATCCTCAGCACCACATACAAACAAAGATGTTGTGTCCGCAGAAAACTAACTAACTAAATAAATAAATATTTAAAATAAATAAATAAACAAACAAACCTGGGGGGGCCGGGGTTGTGGCTCAGTGGTAGAGCTTGAGAGCTTGCCTAACATGTGTGGGGCACTGGGTTCGAACAAATAAAATAGAGGTATTAAAAAAAAAAAAAAAAAGACAGGGGATATAGCTCAGTAGTAAAATGCCCCTGAGTTTAATCCCCAATACCAAAACAATGAATGATGAATGAATAAAAGAAAAAGGGTCAGGATGCAGCATGGTGGTAAAGCACTCATGTGCAAGGTCCTGAATTCAATTCCCAGCACCAAAAACAAAAACAAAAGCTGGGCACCAGGGCACACACCTGTAATTCCAGTGGCTTGGGAGGCTGAGGCAGGAGGATCACTAGTTCAAAGCCAGCCTCAGCAATGGTGAGACGCTAAGCAACTCAATGAGACCCTGTTTCTAAATAAAATACAAATAGGGCTGGGGATGTGGCTCAGCGGTTGAGTGCCCAAGTTCAATCCTGGTACAAAAAAAAAACAAGAATTTCCATTTTCTTAGTATCAATCATTTCTGTAAGATTCTCATCAACCTTACTGAGTGTGTGATGCAAATAGGCACAGACATATGCAAAGTAGGCTAGGCTAGGCTCATTTGTTTGTCTCCCATAGATTTTCTTTCTTGATGTTTTTGGTCCTGCTGAGGATTGAAACCAAGGCCTGTATATGCTAAGCAAGTGCTGTGCCACCTGAGCTACATCCTCCTCTCCCATGGGCTTTTCTTTCTTTCTTTCTTTAATTTTTTGTTTAGTTGCTGAAGGACATTTATTTTGTTCATTTATTTATATGTGGTGCTAAGAATTGAACCCAGTGCCTCACACTTTACCACTGAGCCATGACCCCAGCCCTCCCATGGGTTTTCAATGACACCTCTCTCTCTTTTTTGGTACCAGGGATTGAATTTAGGGGTGCTTTGCCACTGAGCTACATCCCTAGTCCTCTTTAAAATGGTGATTATTTGGGCTGGGGATATAGCTCAGTTGGTAGAGTGCTTGCCTTGCATGCACAAAGCCCTGGGTTCAACCTCGGTTCAATCCCTAGCAACACACACGCACAAACACGTCTAAAATGGTGATTATTTGAACTCAGGGCCTAACACATGCTAGGCAAGTGTTCTATCACTGAGCTATATATATATTTTTTTTTTATTTGAGATAGGGTCTAGCTAAATTGCTAAGGCTGGCCTCAAGCTTGCAATTCTCAACTGCCTCAGCCTCCCCAGTTGTTGGGATTAAAAGTGTGCACTATCTTGCCTGGCTTTTCAATGACCTCTTGTGATGCATACAACCAAAGCAAAGGAAAACTTGGATGCCATCACCAACTTCTCTCACTCATTTGGTAAGAAAACTCAGAGAAGCATTTTGTGGTGTTTCAACACAGAACTAGCAAGAAATATTAATACCAACGTTTTATCTCATACGTACTCTTGCATAATTTTTGGACCAGAGAACTGGTCTGAAAAATGAATGGATTCAATCTTGTCAGCATAGTGTGTAAGAAAGTGAACCATCTGAAAAACAGAAAATAAAATTATTTTTTTTAAAGTTGATTTTGATGCATTTCCCTTTTTTCATAAACATTTCACCCTTCAATCCCCTGCAATGTTGCTCAGACCAAAATGTTTTAAAATTAAATTTATTTTTTTATTTTATTTTTTTGAGAGAGAGAGAGAGAGAGAGAGAAAGAGAGAATTTTAATATTTATTTTTTAGTTTTCGGTGGACACAACATCTTTGTTTGTATGTGGTGCTGAGGATCGAACCCGGGCCGCACGCATGCCAGGCGAGTGCGCTACCGCTTGAGCCACATCCCCAGCCCTAAAATTAAATTTAAATAAGGAAGCTCTCTAAAGTGAAATTAATATTGTTCTTATACAGTAGCTGAAAATATGTCACAAAGCAAAATTGTAAACAAGAACGAAAGTTATGAAAATTCAGGGGATTCTTTGAGCTTCATTCTCAGTCCTTTTAATTTTGAGACAAGGTTTCATTAAGTTGCTTAGGGCCTCCCTAAATTGTTGAGGCTGGCCTTGAATTTGCAATCCTCGCCTCAGGCTTCCTACCTGCTGGGATTACAGGCCTGTTACTACACCCAGATTCAAGGATTCCTTTTTTTTTTTTTTTAAATACCAAGGATTGAACCCAGGGGCACTTAACCCGGAGCTACATCCCCAACCTTTTTAAAAATATTTTATTTAGAAACAGGGTCTTGATGAGTTGCTTAGGGCCTCACTTAGTTGCTGAAGCTGGTTTTGAACTCAAAATCCTCCTGCATCAGCCTCCTGAGCCACTGGAATAACAGGTATGTGCCACCGTGCCTGGCTCAAGGGATTCTTTATAAACATGTCACCTTGAATTTACATTTGGAACTGTCCCTGAGTTATTCCATAATTTAATGTAAGTAAGATATACTGTTACCATAACACAACCAAAAGAAAGAAATGGTTTTCTGAACACCCTCTTCTCCTATGCTAATTGAAGATCAAAATTATAGACCAAATGGCATGGTGAAAAGAATTGAAGTTGTGTTCCTTCTTCAAAAAACCTGAAAGTCATTAGCAATCCCAGAAACAATTTGCTATTCATTCAGAGAACTTCTTGACTAATCAAACAGTACTTCTGACAAGTTGAATTATTGCTTAAATATGGTATTTCAGAATTGATGTGAGAAAAGAATACATAATTAATGCATTAACATTAAGGATTCATACAGGGTGACTTTTAGGAAAAGCCTTCTCAATGCCAGGTCTGGCAAATATAAGTCTTTTTTACATTTACCTTTGTATCCATCATTCCCTCTGTGACTTCTCCCATCTCCGACAGGATGGCCAAAGAGTCTGGCAGTCCATACTTCGCTCCAGACTTAGGTTTATCACTACAAAACTCACTCTGGAGGAAGAAAATTTTGAAAATAAGATAGGACATTTGATTATGCACAAAGATTTCCCCCTCAAAAAAGCATCTGTATTAACATATTTCAAAGCTTAACAACATTTGAGTAAGGTAATTGTCTGTGCAATGAAAATCTATTTAATAAAGAAGCAGTTTCTATACATATTTCAGTTGGAAAAACTTGACGTACCAGATCCTGCATCTCTTTCTGCAGTCGCACTAAAGCTTTCCGTGTGCCAACAGCAAACACATAGGTATCCATGTCTTCATCATTCATAGTTACTTTTATTTGCTTTTAAAACAAAACAACAAAGCTTACTATTGGGTTCTACGGTAGATAGATTTCTAAATGGTCCCTAAGAACTCCCTTGAGTGAGATTTGCAAGTATGATGTGTCATCACTCCCATAATTATGTTGTTATAAGGCAAAAGGTCCTTAATTGATTGATTTTGAATTAACCAAAAGGGACATTATCTTGGGTATACCCACTAAGCATGCAAATCCTTAAAAAGGATGAGACTCTATGAGAAGAAAAGAATCAAGGAGTGAAAGGGCTTAAATAAAGATGAGTGATAAAGAACTGAGGGTAGCCTCTAGGAGCCAGTTGGTAAGTAGAAAGAAAATAGAGATCTACAACTACAAGAAACTGAACTATGCCAACAACCTGAATGATCTTGAGAAAGTGATGCCCAAGAAGGAAACTTTAATCTTGCTGATACCTTAATTTCAGCCTGCAAAGACCTGAGCAGAGAACCCATGCTTGGACTACTTATTTTCACAAACTGTGATATAACAAATGGGTGTTATTTTAAGCTGCCAAATTTGTGTTAATTTGTTCTGCAGCAATAGAATACTAACAGATTCATACAGGAATACTCAAGTCCAAAATTCAGCATTAACAAGATCCTAATTGAAGCTGGGTGTGGTGGCATACACCTAAAATCCCAAAGGCTCGGGAGGCTGAAGCAGGAGGATCGTGAGTTCAAAGTCAGCCTCAGCAAAAAGTGAGGTGCTAATCAACTCAAGTGAGACCCTATCTCTAAATAAAATACAAATAGGGCTGGGGTTGTGGCTCAGTGGTGAGTGCCCCTGAGTTCAATCCCTGGTACCCACCCATGCAAAAAGATCCTAATTGGAAATGTGCTATAATAAAAAATACATTTGGTTTTTGTCCCAGGTTTCAGGCACCAAGCTCCTAAAACCTTTAGAATCACATGAATGATTGGAGTATCTTTTGTTATTGAGAAAAGAAATGCAATGACTTTGGTTGGCTCCTAGATGGCATCAGAAATAGGGCTAGTCATCATAATAATCAAGGGTTTAGCGGGTGTGATCTTTCAGCCCTATTCAAGATATCTGGGAAAGAAAGGAAAAATGGAAATTGAGTTCTACAAAGACTCCAGAACAGGAATGGGGATTTAGCTCAGTGAACAGCACTTGCCCAACATGCTCAAGGTCCTGGGTTCAATCTCTAGTACCACAAACAACAACAAAAAAAATCCTGAATAAGATACAGAGGGCTTCCAAGTTAGTGAACTCATCAACCTGTTGGAAGAGTAAAATGCTCAGAAAGGTCATGCTCCATGCATACCCCTCTCCTATGTACCACCCTTTATTTCTCTTTTATTTGGCTATTCCCGAGTTATATCCTTAAAAATAAGCCAGTAAATGTAAGTAAAATGTTTTCCTGAGTTCTGTGAGATAATCTAACAAATTAATGAACCTGGCCAGAGGTTGTAGAAATGTCCAGTTTATATTTTGATCAGTCAGAACTGCACATGGCAATATGGATGGCCTGGGATCTGCAATTCCCTCTGAAACAGGAATAGTCTTGTGGGATTGGACCCTTCAGCCTGTGGGATCTAAGCTAACTCCAGGCAGATAGTATCAGAATTGAATAGAATTGTTAGCACTCAATTGGTGTCCAGAGAATCAAAGAACTGTTGGTGTTGGAAAATACCCCCAAAGCAAGTAAACAACTATTAATATTTTGCATTGGGCCAAAATTAAAAGCCTAAAGAGTCTGATATGACAAAACATGGCCCTACTTGTCATCTTATTTATATTTTTAAATGTTTGAGTCAAATAATTATCAGTTTTTCCAATAATATGGAAAAAAGAAATGTTACTATTGGGTAAGATCTGGCAAAATAGCAGCCGTAAAAGAAAAATTTTCTGCTCTTTCAACATTGACAGAAAATTATACAAAGTCAACACTTTAAACAGAATCCTATAAGAAAAAAAAAAACTAAATGTAAAGAATCATGGGTGTGGGCTCAATGGGCTCAATCATGGGGGTTATGGCTCAATGGTAGAACACTTGCCTTGTACATGTGAGGCACTGGGTTTGATCCTCAGCACCACATAAAAAATAAATAAGCGGGGCTGGGATTGTGGCTCAGTGGTAGAGTGCTTGACTAGCATGTATGGGACACTGGGTTCGATCCTCAGAACCACATACTTGTAAAATAAAGATATGGTGTCCACCTAAAACTAAGAAATAAAATAAATATTTAAAAAATAAATAAGCAAAATAAAGTTATTGTGTTCATCCACAAAAAAAAAATACTAAAAAAAAAAAAAAAAAAAAAGAATCATGAGTTTATTAAGGTAATTTCTCTTTGAGAGGTAGGGGAAAAGGAGGGAGGAAAGGAGAGAAAAAAGGATGACTGGCCCAGAGGAAAAAGAGAAGAGTAAATACACTCCAGGAAAGAAATGACATGATTTAAACACTAAAGAATAATTTCTATGAAAGATGGCTGGGGAGGTTACAGCAAATTTTCTTCTTCTTTTTTTATTTTTTTGAGTAGTGGAGATTGATATGACAAAACATGGCCCTACTTGTCATCTTATTTATATAAGGGCATTTAATCACTGAGCCATATCCTCAGCCCTTTTTTATATTTTAGAGACAGAGTCTTGCTGAGTTGCTTAGTGCCTCACTAAATTGCTGAGGCTGGCTCTGAACTTGAGATCCTCCTACCTCAGCCTCCCAAGTTGCTGGGATTACATGCATGGGCTACTGTGCCCAGCTTCTTCATTTTTAACTAATGTTTGGTGGGAAAAGAGATGACAGGAACATTAACTGATGAGGCTCTAAACTTTAGTGGATTAAGTCATCAATGGCAACATTAAAAAAAATTAAAAGATGTAGATTTACAACTAAAATTGAAATCTTTAAAATAATGAGTTTCAAGGAGAGGCATGGTGGTGCATTCCTGTAATCCCAGCAGCTTGGGAGGCTGAGGCAGGAGGACTGCAATTGAAAGCCAGCCTCAGCAACTTAGTCGGGATGTAAGTAACTCAGCAAGACCCTGTCTCTAAATAAAATATAAAAAGGGCTGGGGATTGTGGCTCAGTGGTTAAGCACCCCTGGGTTCAATCTCCAGTACCAAAAAAGAGGGAGAAAAAAGAGAGAGATGAGCCAGATGCAGTGACATGTCAGTAACCCTAGCTATGCAGGAGGCTGAGACAAGAAGGATCACAAAATTGAGGCCAGCCTAGACAACTTAGCAAGACCTTGGCTCAAAATATAAACAGAAGGACTGGGTGTAGCTCAGAGACCTCTGGGTTCAATCCCCAGTATTGCCCCCACCCCCAAAAAAAAAAAAAAAAAAAAACCAAGAAAGAAAAGAGAGATGAACAGGGGAGCAGGAAGTAATTATAAATTACTTATTAAATATAAAGTAATTTAGAAAGGACACCATCATTTAGCCCATTCCCTACACTTTGGAGAATATGTTTTACAAGATCCTGGATATATGGTTATCTAATCTCTATGTGAAAACTTGCCATGGCAGAGACTTAGCACCTTATCAGGGAGCCCATCCTACCTATAGACCACTGATCATTCCAATTTTTTTTTTTCTTTTTGAGTGTGCACCCAAGTGATTGGGAAAGAAATAGTGTTTCAATGACAGGAATAGAAAAGTTCAGAGTAGAAGTAGTTTGGGTGTAGGGCTGGGGTTGTGGTTCAGTGGTAGAGTGCTCGCCTAGCATGCATGAGGCACTGGGTTCCAACCTCAGCACCACGTAAAAGCAAAATAATATGTCCACCTAAAATAATAATATAATCATAATATATAATAATAATATAATAATCCAATAACATTTGAAAGTACTAAATTTATAAAACTAATACAACACTTACTTAACACTACTTTGTACTTTGACATACACTTATATATCTCTTATTTTATTAATTCATATAAAAGAAGAAATTGTCCTTTTCTTGTTTTTTTTTATTGTTGTTTTTCAGTACTAAGGATAGAATCCAGGATGCTCTACTATGGAGCCACATCCCCAGTCCTTTTTATTTTTCGTTTTGAGATCCTTGCCTAGGCTGGCTTTGAACTTGCAACCCTCCTGTCTCAGCCTCCAGAGATGCTAGGATTACAGGTGGGTGCCACCATGCCCAGCTATTCTGTATATTTTTGTTTCTTGTACCAGTGGGAACCAACACAATTATTTACTGAAAGAATTAAGGAAGGAGGAATATGGCATTTCTAATAAAGGATACATTGGCAGATTAACAAGTTAATTTAATAAAGGAAAGAAGGTATGCCCAATAATAAAGTTCTTAAATCATGGTTTGAGCTCCTTCAACCAAAATTAATTATCTGAAGCAAAAAAATTTGAGAAGAAACCCAGCTTTTTGCCAAAAACAAAGACATACATAAGAAGCAGAAGTAGATATGAAGGCAAACTATTTGTGACAATTCTTCTTCCCTCTATCAAGGCTAATTTAGCTGATCTCTGTGGTGGTAGAGTATTTCTCATTCCCTCCAAAAAGCACATTAAGGCCTCCAGATAGTTGTACACTGAGTGAAAGAAGATCTGCTTAAATAGAAAAGGATCATTTTTTTTTGGAAAGGGATATAAGTTGCCAGAAATTCCAATAACAATCAGGTAGAAATGGAATAAGGTCAAAGAAGTAACAAATTCAATCTGTAACCAGCATGTATAATACATACCACTTGATCACTCATTGGCCTCATCATTCGTGCCAGGACATTCAGTAAGTCTTGTCTCTTAAGGAACTAAAAAAATAAGGAGTTAATATAGTTTTAACTTCTACTTACTATAAAGAAAGGGACTTTGAGAGAAAATCACTTGCTTTATCAAATATCCTCTATAACATGCTTGTCAGTTAGCAGAATAGTTGAACCTTATTTTAAACCAAACATGAAGAGATGAGACATTGAATTTAGAACATTAGGAACCACATTTAGAAAAAAGGGATGATATACATTGGACCAAAAGTTACTTACCCTCAGCTGGATAAGCATTCCCTCACAGCACACTCTACCAGAACACCACAAGTTATAGATATGCTCATTCTCCTGGTTCAACTTTCCCGTGCTTGTAGCTTCTTTGTTAGTTCCATCATCTCCTAGGGGTAAAACCACTTAATGTGATTCACTGAAAATTTGGGGCCTAATTATCACACCCTTCCTCTATCCTGACTCCAACATGATCATAGCTTTAAGGTAACAATAATTTGTTATCTTATAGAATCTCTTTTGGAGAGAGATTTATATAGATTGGCACTGTTCCTTTTACTACTACTTATTTTTTTAAATATTTATTTTTTAGTTTAAGGTGGACACAATATCTTTATTTTTTATTTTTATGTGGTGTTGAGGATCGAACCCATGCCAGGTGAGCACACTACCGCTTGAGCCACATCCCCAGCCCCACTACTACTTATTTTTTTCTAGTTTGTTTAATGTTCCATTTTCACACTTTAATAGATTTGATGTATTTCTTTCTTTCTTTTCTTTTTTAGAGAGAGAGAGAGAGAGAAATTTTTAACATTTATTTTTTAGTTTTCGGCGGACACAACATCTTTGTTTGTATGTGGTGCTGAGGGTCGAACCCGGGCCGCACGCACGCCAGGCGAGTGCACTACCACTTGAGCCACATCCCCAGCCCAGATTTGATGTATTTCTTATACTTCTTTACTCATTAGTTAATCTAGTTCTTGAGGGTTACTGAGTCATCTTGATGAACCAACCATCCTTTTTAAAAGAACTGTTGACAAATCCTAGATATTCTTTAAGAGTTTCATTAACCTCAGTTATCTCTCCTGACAGAGGAAAAAAAAATTCACTAGCTTTCACACTTTCCAAAGCACCAAACTTTTCCTTTTTTTGTACCAACTTTAGACAGACTATAGTAAAAATATCTCCCACTGAGAGGCAGAGCAGAGGGATGGTTAAGGGGAAGTAATGCAGAATGAATTCTTAAAAAAATCATGTTATATATGCAAATATAAATATACCACAGGGAATTTTACCTTTATGCATAAGTAAAAAGAACCAAAGAACCAATCAAATACAAATAAACAGAGGAGCGAAAGAAGTCTAATAAAGGAAGAAAAAAAGGGGTGAAGGGGAGGAGGAATGATCATAACCTGAAATCGAATTCAATGCATGTATGAGTTTGTTAGTATGAACCCAAATACTATGTATAATTATAAAGCTATAATAATAACAATAATAATAATAATAATGATAATAAAATAATTTCCCAAAGTTTCCTGCACAAAGTTGATTCCTACCCACTGTTCCAATACTATTTTCTGTTGTCATCCTTTCATGTTTCTCTGTGAATTTATGCATGGAGAACAGAGCAGATGGCATTTGCCCTCAGATACCAGCATGTAGTAGGCATGAAAGCTGTGGGAAGGCTCCTCATCATTCAGTGGGACTTGTATGCTATGTGGCCATCCAGACTGGAAGAAACAGGGGCTGCTTTTCACTTTTAAAATGTTTGTCTCCATGAAAAACAACAGACTCTAGTAACCACATGAAAATGGAGCAAGAGAGAGGGCAATGAGTCAAAAAACTGCTTATATTTTTCAATGTCCTGGTCAAAAAGTACTCTGAAAAACCACTGCATAGAGGTGAAAGTATCATAGAGAGCATGGACTTTGGCAATTTAATAGTTCAGCCATGTTTTAATATTTCTGCTCTCCAGTTAACTTCTAAGGAAAACAAAAATTATACCCAATTGATGGTGTTGTTACAAAGAGCAAATAAGAAACAATGTATGCAAAGTACCTAGCACAATATATAAATAGTCTGCTAAAGAATAGAGTTGATGGATCCCTATTTACTATTTTTAAAAATATTTTTTAGCTGTAGATGGACACAATATATTATATTTATTTACTTTTATGTGGTGCTAAGGCTGGAACCCAGTGCCTCACACGTGCTAGGCAAGCACTCTACCACTGAGCTACAACCCCAGCCCCCCTTTTTACTATTAAAGTGGAATAAAGTGATACCGGGGTGCGGTGGAGCATACCTGTTATCCTACTACTTGGGAGGCTGAGGAAAGAGGATTGCAAGTTTGAGGCCAGCCTGGACAACTCAGTGAGATCCTGTCTCACAATAAAAAAAAATGTTGGGAGTGTCACTCAGAAGTACTTTCCTAACATGTGTGAAGCCCAGGAATTAATTCCCAGTATAGCAACCACCCCCCACAACAACAAAAAAAGTGTTAAAATGACAAGTAGAGGTTCATGTGAGGGGAGTCCACCCCACTTCTTATACTGCACAGTTACAGATATTCCTCCAAGTACTTCAGTGTATATCTCATCAGAAGATTCAGTACCTTAGAACTGGAGAGAAATTTAAGGGGCTTCCAACTTCTTTTCTTTTCTTCCTCCTCTTTCTTCCTTTTTTTTTTTTTTTTTTTTTTTGGTAGTACAGTACTGGAGATTGAGTCTAGGTCCTTGAGCATACTAGGCAAGTGCTCTACCACTGAGCTACATTCTTAGACCTTTTAAAAAAGACCCTAGGTTTCATTAAGTCACCCAGTCTGGCCTCAAACTTGTGATCCCCTGCCAGAGCCTCAAAAGTGGCTGGGATTACAGAAATGTGTCACTGTGCCCAGCAGGACTTCCAATTTCTAAAGGCGAATCGAAAGCATTTATCGAGTTACTTATAATGTCAAAATTTCATAGTTTCAACCAGAAGTTTATCAACTTTTTTGGGGTGTGGGGAGGATACCAGGGATTGAACTCAGAGGCACTCAACCCCTGAGCCACATTCCCAGCCATATTTTGTATTTTATTTGGAGGCAGGGTCTCACTGAGTTGCTTAAGGCTTCCCATTGCTGAGGCTGGGTTTGAACTCATGATCCCCCTGCCTTAGCCTCTTGAGCCACTGGGATTACAGGGGTGCACCATCATGCCTAGTGCAATTATACTATTGTTTGATAAAAGATAAAGAAATTATTACATAAATGCAATATACTCAGTACATTAAACTAAAAAAAAATATGTATCCTCTTCAAGCAGTACATGAAAGCAACTGGACGCTTATACTTAGAAAAAAATGCACGAAGGTAAGTTACTAGGGAACAAAACTGAACAAATTACATTACTCTATTATGTGCATGTACAAATATGTAACAAAGAATCTGAGAATTACATATAATTATAATGGACCAATTAAAAAAAAATGTGTGACAAGAAAATGCATCCTCTTTAGCATTTACTGAAAGCAGTTAGATGCTTATGCTGAAGGGAATAAACACTTCTTACCAGACTATTTTCAAGCAGGGAGCTGGACATATATTGGCCTAACTTACCCACTAAGGTAAAGTTGCTCTCCAAAAGCTCTCTATGAGTGTTAAACCAGGCCTGTGCTAGGCGACTGTTTTTATTCTTTCCAATAATGTAGTTCATGATATAGGCGAGCAGACCAGTCACCATCAAAATTTCTAGATAATAACTCTCCCAACTGTTCTGGAGGTGTGCAGGTACCTAAAGAATCAAAATTTTTCCATTTAATATTGGATAAGGCTGAATGATAAGAGTCTAATAATGGTATGAAAAATGAGAAAACCCATAAGTAGAAATAAATCTCTTATATAACTGTCACTGAATATGATTATACATCGAGAAATAAGCCTATTTTGGTTTTTTAACTTAGTTTTGTAAAAGATTCTTTAAGGAAATGTTAAAGAGAATCAGATGAGATGAAAAGCTGGCAAATTCTTTGTATTAACTTGGTTCTGAGTCCCACCCCAAAATATATCCAGTGTATGGTATACCTGTTTATTTATTTCTTTTTTAGTGTGTGCTGGGGTTTGAACCCAGGAACACTTAACCACTGAGCCACATCCCGAACCCTTCTTATAATTTACTTAGAGACAGGATCTCACTGAGTTACCTAGGGCCTTGCAAAGTCACTGAAGCTGGCTTTGAAATTGTGATACTCCAGTCTCAGCCTCCAGAGCTACTGGGATTACAGGCATGCACCACCATGCCTATTTATTTATTTTTATTTATTCTAATTAGTTATACATTATTTATTTCTTGATAATAAAACCAGGAGAACTAGAATAAAATAGCCGTTCTTTTTCCAGATATGATCCTTTTTTTTTTTTTTTGGATTGGTGGTGCTGCTGCAGATCAAGCCCAGGGTCTTTGCATGCTTAACTGGTGCACTACCACAGATTTCTAGGTATAGATGTTTATCAGAAATAACTGATGTTAAGCTATTTCTCAATTTCCACTATAACATCAACACCAGCCATATGTCACTAATTATATTTCTGGGATTAATGACATCAAGATGTTTTGTTGGTTAATTTAGAATTCAGAACCCTGTATACCTACGTCAACAATTGTTATTGGGTCTTTATTTTTGCTAGAAGTAGTATCTGGTTTGTCTTCATAACCTTCAAATTCTTCGTCATCATAAGGTTCATTCTCCGTATCTCCCTCCTACAAAAATGAGGCACAATCTGTTTTTCTCTACAAATGTCACCAGCAATAGTGTCTCATTTTGCAGGCAACGTTTGTAAAGGAAAAGAGAACTTGTTAACAGAAAGCCCAGAACAGAGATATTAGATGTTTTTAGCAAAATATCAAAGTGTTCAAACTTTCAGTCCTAAAATAAATAAGTTCTGGAGACTTAATGTACAATATAGCATGGTAATAATTAGTAGAATATTATATATACTTAAAATTTGCTATGAGAACAGATGGTAAGTATTTTCATTACACATACAAATAAAGAAAACTATGTGAGGTAACAATATGTTAACTAGTTTGTGATGATCACTTTACAATGTATACACATATCAAAACACCATGTTGTACAATTTAAATATACGTAATCTTCATTTGTCACTAAACTTCAATAAAGCTGAGACAAAAACCCAAAAACACAAAAATGATGACTCCCCATACTTTAGAACCCAAAGTTCTAAACCTAAATGATGACAATCCTCACCCATACACAGTATCTATTCTCTAGCCCCTTCCCTAGCCAGGATTGCCATAGAGGAGGAAAACACAATTTACCATATTTTTTAATGTAAAAGGTGGAAACATCACAAATTGTTTTTCAGTAGGGAAAACTCTTATCTACTGAAGAAAAACGAAGATTCCAGAGAGTAAAGGTCTCCCTAGATCTGTGTCTTATTTCTAATATTTGAGAAGTGCTAGTTATAAAATTTCCCATCCTCCAAATTGGGGGGAAAAAAAAATCAATGAAAGAAAACCCCACCTGGGTATCTGCATCTTCAAAATCTCCTTCTTGGTTTTCATCTTGCCCTTCCAATTCCACAGTTGTCTCATCTTCGTCGTCTTCAGTAGTTATTACCCGTTGAGGAGATTCGGTAACAGAATCTTCTAGGACATCTTCAAATTCAGCAAAGTCATTATCATCATACTCTACTATGTCCTCCTCATCCTCAAAATCATCAAACTTGGCTTCAGAGACACTCCCGAACACCAAAACAACAACAAAGAAAGCACAGAAAGCTTTCATTGCACCTTAAAAATAAGATTAAAAAACAAAACAAAGAGCCTTAAAATGAACTCTATTCTACAAATAACAGATTTTGTAAATAGTGAAAATAAAAATTTAAATTTAAAATAAAAAACCTCTCCTGCTTTTCTCTTACTCCATACTCTCAGATTTCAAAAACATTATACAAAAAAAAAAAAAAAAAAGTCAGGTCAAGAGGCTTAGATCTAGTTTAGACCTTGTTACTAGTCATCTGTAAAATCTTGGACAAAACATGTAATTTCTTTAGGGTGGGGGTCTCTGAAAATTTTTTTCCATTTAAACTGAGTGTTCCATAAAGGAAATTTTTTTTTTTTTCAACATACACTTGAGGGCTTATACAAAGCTTTCTAAAGACAATGAAAAGGACATATCATGAAAGAATAAGATACAACTATTTACCTATTAGTGATAACAAAAATAATCTGTAAACAAGCTATGCAAGGAAGGGGATATCGCTCAGTACATGTCAAAGGCCTTGGGCTTGATTCCCAGCACTGCACAAACACACAAAAACACCATTTGCCCTTAGATCAATTTTTTATATGTGCCTGCACATGCTATAAGAGTATTCACTTAAAACATTAAGTGCTAGGTACTGTCCTAAAAGCTTTATGAAAAGCAACTGATTTAATCCACAAAAAGCAAATGTTTTAATCCTCATAACAATCCTCTAAGGAAAGCATAATTACCCAAATCCCCATTTCACAGATAAGGAAAATGAGGCAGAGATGTTAAATAATACAACTACCACATGACATAGACATGTGGATTTGATTCCAGAGTTTTGACTTCAGAATATGTGCTGAGCCATTCTCAAGTTACTTCTCAAATGTAAGCTGGCAGCTGTGGCTTTATATTACTTAGAGTAGTAATTTACTAACAAACTGTTTCTAGTGTATATGGTAGAATGCAACATTACCAGCATTTTATAGCTTTCAGAAAAGAATAGTAAGTATTCTAATATTTGAACAAGTTTGTGAACTAACAAAAATAATGAAAAAATATCTGTGACAAACAAAAAATCTTATATGAAAATATGAAAAACAATGCAATCATTTTATCTAACAGTTAAGGCATTTATGCTGCAATGGAAGTAGCTAAGGGGGCTTGGGATGTAGCTCAGTGGTAGAGTGCTTGTCTAGTATGTGTGAGGCCCTGGGTTCGATTCTCAGACCACATAAAGGTAAATAGATAAAATAAAGGTAGTGAGTCCATCTATAACTTAAAAAAATATATTTAAAACAAACAAACAGGTCGTCTTCTCTGGTCTCAGTCTCTGCTGTGTTCGCCCACTCTCTCTGGGCCTTGGGAAGCCTAAACTCCGAATAGGCCTTACTGCTTTCCGCCCAGCCGTAGCTTCGTCTTAAGACTTCACCACCATGTTCGAGGAGCACCTGGTCCAGGGGTCCATCCTGAAGAAGGTGCTGGAAGCCCTCAAGGACCTCATCAACGAGGCCTGCTGGGACATCAGCTCTGGTGGTGTAAACCTTCAGAGTATGGACTCGTCCCATCTCCTTGGTGCAGCTTACCCTGTGCTCTGAGGGCTTCGACACATACCTCTGTGATCGCAACCTGGCCATGGGTGAACCTCACCAGCATGTCCAAAATACTAAAATGTGCTGGCAATGAAGACATTATTACATAAAGGGCTGAAGATAATGCGGATACATTGGCGCTAGTATTTGAAGCACCGAATCAAGAGAAAGTTTCAGACTATGAAATGAAGTTTTTTTTTTTAATATTTATTTTTTAGTTTTTCGGCGGACACAACATCTTTGTTTGTATGTGGTGCTGAGGATTGAACCCGGGCCGCACGCATGCCAGGCAAGTGTGCTACCGCTTGAGCCACATCCCTAGCCCCATGAAATGAAGTTAATGTTGAACAATTTTGGAATTCCAGAACAAGAGTACAGTTGTGTAGTAAAGATGCCTTCTGGTGAATTTGCACATATATGCCGAGACCTCAGTCATACTGGAGATGCTGTTGTAATATCCTATGCAAAAGATGGAGTGAAATTTTCTGCAAGTGGAGAACTTGGAAATGGAAACATTAAGTTGTCTCAAACAAATAATGTTGATAAAGAAAAGGAAGCTGTTATCACAGAGATGAATGAGCCAGTTCAGCTAACTTTTGCACTGAGGTACCTGAACTTCTTTACAAAAGCCACTCCACTCTCTCCTACAGTAACACTCAGTATGTCTGCAGATGTACCCCTTGTTGTAGAGTATAAAACTGCTGACATGGGACATTTAAAGTATTATTTGGCTCCCAAGACCGAGGATGAAGAAGGATCTTAGGCATTCTTAAAATCTGAGGAAATAAAACTAAGCTCTTTGAGAACTGCTTCTAAAAGACTGAAAGTCTTTTCTGTCACCAAATTTGTAACTGAGTACATATGTAGATAATGTTTTCTGTAAATAACCTAATTTTCCCTTTCCTTCCTCTACAGCTTAAGAATAAAATCCAAAATCAAATCTGGTTTTGTTAACCTAAAAATACTTCTTTCTGCCTTACTTAGAAATACTTCTGGTGATTTTTATAATAAAAGGGTCTTGACTTTAAATGCAGTTTTAAGAATTGTTTTTCAATTTAAATAAAGTTATCTGAATTTCAAATGTCAAAAAAATATATAAAAATAAAACAAACAAACAAAAAACATTTAGGGGCCAAAAGTTGTGGCAGACACCTGTATCCCAGCAGCTCAGGAAGCTGAGGCAGAAGAATCCCAAGTTCAAGGCCAACCTAAGCAATTAAGTGAGGCCCTAAGCAACTAAACAAGACCCTGTCTCAAAATAAAAAATAAATAAGGCTGAGGATGTAACTCAGTGGTTGAGTGCCCCGGGTTCAATCTGTACAAGTACAAAAACAAAAACAAAACAAAAAACAACCACCACCACCAACAACAACAACAAAAAAACCAAAACCCCAACCATCTAGGTTTATTTTAAAAGTCCTGCCCTCTTATCTAAACAGGAGACTTACATCATCTGCTATCTAAAAGGCATGTCCATTTTCATGCTCTACAATCCCCCCGCTACCCCATACTATACTTGGTAACTATTTTAGGCTTGTGGAGCAGACACTGTTGGGTACCCTTTAAAAATAACTCTTTAAAAATGTAAGACATTCTTAGTTCAAAGGCCACCTCTAAGGCTTTGTTTGCTGACCCCTGCTCTATGGTCATCTTAAACTCAGCAGGTATCTGAATTTCCCTGTTTTTATAATATCAATCTCATTTTTTCCAGTCTTGTTTTTAAAAATGAGATATATAATTTCTCATTTCTTCTGCATTTGAAATTTAATCAGTCATCAAACCCCCATTCTGTAAGCCACCATGATCCAAATTATCACCACCTGCTAAGAAACCACAGCATTATCCTAAACTGAATTCTTTCCTACTCCCTATTTCTCTTTCCTTAAAACCACTGTCATCTTTCTAATACAACTTTGGTTACATAAGTCATCAAAGGCCAACCAACTCCTGCAAAACAATATAAAAATTCTTCTGGCTTTCACTGTTTTCTATAAAATGATCCTACTATATCAACTATACCTTCACTAAGTATACTACCATGCCACTAAGCATATGATCATGCCAAGATAAGTAAAATGTAATTCCTGACATAAATTTGCTCAGGTATTTAGCTTAAAGAATATGTATTACAGTATTACTTATGACAGTACAAGTTTTGAAACTATTTGGTTAAATTATGTATGTATCCAAACAAACTTACTTTTGCCCATTAAAATCTGTTACAAAGAAGTTAGAAACCATGTTGTTTTAGGAGCACATGGACATAAAGGAAAAGGTTTAAAAGTACATATATCTACATAGAACAGTAGTTAGTGTGTATGGTATGTTTATTGGTATTATCTTTCTTTTTCTTTTTCTAACTTTCCTATGATATATGCTTGTAATTAAAAGAAATAATTCTTTGTAAATAAAAGCATATTTTCTGCATTAGGGAAAGAAGACAAGGAACAGCTATGACACAAAGGCCTGAAATAACACATTTCACTTTTCTGAGCATTGGGTTTGCAGACTTAACTTGCTGAAAAGGACAGCAGTGGCCAGATATGATCTTTATATGACACACCAAGAACTTTGGATAACTAGAAACAACTAAAGGATTTTAAATAGGAAAACTATACAGATTTGCAACCTAATCTTCATAGTTTATAGGCAGCATGAATCTTAGAAGGGTACTTGACACAGGAAACTCAGAACTGGCTGAGATAATTAAACAGTATTTAACTGGAAGTGGCAGAAATGAAAAATAAAAATTGATTTGACAGATACTAAGAATTATATTTGGCAACATAAAGTAACCAGATGCTGGGAACATGGGGAAGAAAGATCTGCAATGATTCCAAGTTTTGTTTAAATAAAAGTGAATAGCTGGACAAAGCCATCCTTCATTGAGATAAAAAGAACAATGAAGGAGAAAAATAATGAGGAAAAAGGTAATAAATTCAATCTAGTACTTATTTAAAAAGAAAGTAAATGGAAATATAAGAGTTCAGGATACAGACTTGAGCTTGAAAGAGACACACTATGGGAATGCACAGATCACCAGAAAGTATTGAGCTGAGTTGGTGAGGGGTTCAAGAGAGAAATCACCCAAAGAAAATCTGGAAACAAATCATAATAGCCAAGAGGTGGGCTTATATCTCCTGTAGTATCTACCACAGAGAAGGCACTCAACAAGTATTTGTTCCTTCATTATTAATTACCTTTTTAAGAGTTAAAAAGTATTTTAGGGCACACCTTTTCAGATCAAACAGATGCTGTCAACTTGACTAATAGACTGCAAATCGAAATGGTCATTTTAGACTGAATTTTAACTTGGAACTTTTAAGAATACACACACAGAAGCATTTTTTTTTTTTTAAAGAGAGAGTGGGAGAGAGAGAGAGAATTTTTTAATATTTATTTTTTAGTTCTCGGCAGACACAACATCTTTGTATGTGGTGCTGAGGATCGAACCCGGGCCGCACGCAAGCCAGACGAGCGCGCTACCGCTTGAGCCACATCCCCAGCCCCACAGAAGCATTTTTAAGATAACTCAGCATGTGAAAGGGCTCCTTCAAGGTTATTTAGGTTAATATTATACAAGCCATTTGTGTATTGGCTTTTCCTCTCATAAGTCTCTGCTGCACCTGTCAACCCATTTCTCAAATGCACAATTCGTGCCAGGTCACCCAGTCTCTAGGACTCCTGAAGCTAGGGAACACTGAACCAAGGCAGGGCACAAGCACTAACAAGTCTGGTTTGATTATTATCTATAAACTCACTGGGTAGTCTCTCAGTGACGGACTCTGGACTTAAAAACGAAAGAGTAAGTAAAGCAACCATTCTTTGCTGTTATTTTAGAAGAGGCCTCTGACATTAGTCCTCTGTCTCCTTAAGTTTGGTTAAAACCCCGTTTTATGTTAACAATCTTCAGAGAAGGCTGACTACAGAAAGTAGTTGCATCTATCAAACCACCCTTGTTTAGTCTCTCTCCACCATGGAGAATCCATTCATCCCAATGTTTATGCTCCATTTTTCCTGCCTCACGTTGTAAATTTCCTCTAACTTTGTCCTTTAGGTTGGCATTTGCTCAGAGCTTTGTGAAGATTCCAAAACACACTAAAATTACCCCAGTCCCCAAAAGACCAATAGAAAATGAGCCAGAAGAGTGAACAAAGATTTAATATTCAATATAACATATATACGTATGCATGTATGTGTGTGTGTGTGTGTGTGTGTGTGTGTGTATATATATATATATTCTTAAAAAAAGGGTATATAAGAAGTCGCGGGGATGGATGCGTGTCACCATTGGCAGGGCAGAAGGGCTGGTTAGGTGAAAAACAGGACCGAATTATAGGCCACGCAACTCAGTCGCCGCTCGGCCTGACCCAGCCCCACCGACTAAGGCATCACGGCCCGCTACCTACCTGTTCCCGAGCTTAAAGCCCGCCGGGCGCTCCTGCGGCCTTGCTTCTCAGCCTGGCTACCACCTTTATCGTCGCCCAGGTTTACTGGCGGCTATGCCAGTAAGACAAGGCAGAAGCAGGTAGCTCAGTCACACCGCCCCTCTTTTCACGTAATCTCTGCCGTCCGTTACGTAGAATGCGTGTGGTTCATCCGCGCCTGCGCTGGGCGTGGGGGGCGTAACGCGAACTCAGTTACAGCACCAGACCTACCCCTCCACCGCCCAGAAGAAGCGAGATGGGGCTTCTGGGAAGGTTACATAATCCCCACCCGTGGGCCGTAAGTGCCCTCGCCGAAGCCGGCATTTTCTATTAGGGTCCAGTCCGGTTGACGTCACTCTGAACCGGTGCTCCGGAAGCTAAAGGTGGCCATGCGCTATGGGACCATGTGGTCACAGGCAAGCGAGGAAATGTTGCCCAAGTCTTATTTACAAAGGAGCTGATTTGGGATCGACTTTTTTTTATGTATACGTGGTTTTCAGCCAACCTCCTTTCTCTTGGAATTTTTGAGCGACTCCCTGTTACTGCCACTCTTTCTTCATCCCAGACCCCCTTTCTTGACGGGCCATGAACACTTCACCCAAGCAGCAGCTTCCCGTCAAAGTGCCCAAGGAGCCTGTGAGGGATTCTGGAACTTCTTGGGCGGGAAGTAGCGGAGCCTTCCGGCAGCCGTAGCCCCCAGGCCCCGCCCTTTGGCCCGCGCTCTCTTTACTGCGCATGTCAGGTGTGTGTTCCCCTCCCCCCCGCCAGCAACGGGCCGAGAGGCGGCGGCGGCGGAGAAGGGGGCGGAGAGGGAGGAGCGCGGCGGGACGGGGCCTGTACCGCGCGTACTTTGGGCCGTGGGATTCTCTCCGCGCCGGCGGTAGTAGCAGCTGCCGCTGCAGCCATAGCAGCAGGTTTGTGGCAGAGGGGGAAGGGGGAGGCAGGACGCGGGGTCGCTAGCCCTTTGAAGCACTAGAGGTAACTGTGGGGCCTAGCGAAGGCTGAGGAACCCCGGCCTCGCTTAACAAAGAGTCGGCGGAGCCTCTGGGCCCCGGCAGTCCTGGGGCCGGGGAGGGATGGGAGTGCAGTCTGAGGCCTCGAGGGAGCCTTCGGAGCTGCGTCGCCCTCCCACGGCTCCCGCTGCTAGCAACTCATGCCGAGGCCCAGTTGGCGGCTTTCCGGAGGCGGCGCCTGCCAGGTTAGGGAAGGGATTTGCAGGGTGCTGGGCTCCGAGGCCGAGAGCCACCGGGAGGATTCTGACTCAGGTAGGCAGGGAGATAAAAGTCCCGGAGTAGGTGTTCCCGGGAGCAAAAGTTGACAAACAAGAAGATTGTAAAGACAGTGATCTTTGTGAAACCTTGGGTAGATCAGGGGTTAGCATCACCATTGTCACAAACTTTTTGCGGCCTGCTTGAAAGCTTATGTTAGTAAATAATTTATGTGGATTGCAAGCACGCACACCAAAAATATAGGGAAAAACATATTAGTGAGAATTTGGGGGGCACTATAGATTCCTTATCCTGTGAGCATTTCCTTCTTTGGCCCTCAGTCTTTTAGTTTGCCTTTTAATTTTCTGTGGCTTCCCTGTATGTTGTTTCGTAAATGATTTTTTGTATATTTGCACAGCCACATATACACGCACGAGTTCCTACGGGGCAAAGAACTGTATATTAATTCATTTAAACTTTTTAGAGTCCCGCCCAGTTCTGGCAGGTAGAAAGTGAGCGGTGTTTAGAATAAAAATTTGTCTTTAAACTTTCATCGGTGAAAAAAGTATTTTTTCTGTACCCAGAAGGAAGATTATGTAGCATAATATAATTCATTCATTCAAGGAATATTTCTATTGATGCCTACTGTGTGCCTGTTCCCTGGGGTTGTTTTAGATATTGAGAGGTCTGTGACCTCTGTCCTCATGAAATTTTCTTGTGGGGAGGGAGACAAATATATATTCTGATGTATGTTAGAAGATAATCAGTGCCTCAGGGGAAAAATAAAGCTGAACAGCAGGATGGGAAGGTGGTTTCAATTTGCAATAAAGTAGTGAGGGAAGTCCTTTCAGACAAGTTGATATTTAAACAGGAGGAGATGAGGGAGTGAGCTGTTGAAGTATCTGGTGAAAGGAACATTCCAGTGGAAGGAATGGCAAGAATAAAGGCCTTGAAGAGGATAAAGCTGGCCTATTAGAGGAACAGTGAGAAGACTGATGGACTTGAAGTACTGAGCAAAGGAGGGAGTAATAGGAGATAAGTTCAAGAAAGATGGGTGGGGGAGAACCAACACATTTTAGGCTGTTATGAGGATTTCACCTTTACTCTGCATAAGATGGGAGCCATCCCCCAGCAGAGAACATAAAATTTGACTTGCATTGTAATAATGTAACATAATTTGTGGAGGCCCTCAGTTCTCCAGAAATGTGTTCTATCATAAGGATAGTCATAGTACTTAGTTTTATTAAATAACAAAGAAAGGGATGTTTTTAAAATAGCTAATCCAGCAATTATATTTGGTTTTAGAAGAATATGATGAAATTCTTGTTTTTTATACAGATTTTCATTAAAGTATAATTAGTATAGAGTGTGAGATTTCTCAAAGCAGATCATTAGGTAAAGTAGATGCTCATCAGGTGCCACTACTCCCCAAATTTTCCTCCAAAAACTATAGTAATAAAATAACAATTTTTATAATCAGTTGTTGTTTTTAGTCTACTACTTACTTTCTTTATTGTACTAGGGATGGAATCCCCAGGGGTGCTGTACCATTGAGATCCACCCCCAGCCTCTTTATTTGGAGATAGTCTCTCAAAGTTGCTGAGGTTGATCTAAAATCAACGTGTGATCCACCTGCCTCAGTTTCTCAAGTTGCTGGGATTACAGGAGCGTGCCACCGCACCTGGCTCCTTAATCTACTACTTTTAAAGTCATTTAGTCCATATCTTATTTTCACCAAAACACAAACTCTAAACCAGATTTCATCCTTACGTTGTACTCTTTGGTACTTCCATCATTTCTCTTTAAAATGTCTTCTTTCTCAGCACATCTCTATCCTGCTTACAGACCTAACCTAGGTTCTAGATCTCTTAAGAGGCTTACCCCAACTTGTCAATTTCTTGCAATCTCTGTTATCTTCAGTGTCATAAGGTATTCCAATGTGAGTCTGAGTTGAAAGATACCTGATATTATCAATTTACCAATGGACAGATTGATTTCTGGAGAAATGATGATGATAAACATAATGTCTACCAATATGCTTTGAAGACTTACTATATACCAGGCTTTGTCAAATGTATTTTTGTGTATGAACTCAGTTTTTCACTCCAACCCTTGAGGTAGGTGATATTCTTACCATTTTACAGATAGAGAAACTAAGACCCAGAGAAGCTAAATAACTTTCTTGAGATTTGGTATCAAGTTAGTGGCAAAACTATAGTTTGAACATAGCCTGTGTTACTTTGCTGTTCTGTTGATTTCCTACTAAAGTATAGCATTTTAGAGCCTAGAAATATACCAAATAGGACTTTATGCCATTTTTATTTTTTCTCTTCAATCATTTTGTAGATCTCTTTGAGTATGTTGAGTAAGCATGAATAATTATTGAGTACTATACTCTGGAAAACATACTATAAAAGATTTTAAAGTATATAACTCTGCCAGGCATGGTGGCATACACCTGTAATCCCAGAAGCTCGGGAGGCTGAGGCAGGAGGATCATGAGTTCAAAGCCAGCTTCAGCAACTATGAGGCTCTAAGCATCTCAGTGAGACCCTGTCTCTAAATAAAATACAAAATAGGGCTGGGGATGTGGCTCAGTGGTTGAGTGCCCGATTCAATCCCCAGTACAAAAAAAAAAAAAAGTACATAACTGTTTCTTCAACCATGATGCCTGTAATGTAGAGTTCAAGAAATAAAACAAGAACATAGTTCTTGTGTAACTTGTTTAATTACAATTAAATGTCAGGTTTGTTTGTTTTTTAAATCAGTTCCAAGTTTCAAACTTTGGATTCTCTTTCCTCGACCTCCCTAGTTGCTGGGATTAAAGGTGTGCACCACTGTGCCTGGCAAATGTCAGAAGTTTTAAGACCAGACAGGGAGTTTGATGGAAGAGATACTACTTCTCTAGGAAATTATATCCATGTCATTGCTCTAGGAGTTGGTATTTTATATGGTCTTTGAAGGATACCAAGGGTAAGTAGATATAATGAGAGATTTAGAAGGGAGAGAATCCAAATAGCAGGAAAAGCATTCATCAGAGTTCCTGGTTTTCTTGGGAAACTGAGTGCATGTAGGAAATCTTGGTTAATATGAATGGTAAAGTAGTTTGCTTATTCCAGCCTGATTGAATAACTGTAGAGAGGTACTGAATTGTAAAAAGTAACAGAATCAGGAATGTGTGTTTGGAAGGCCTGAGGCCAGGATCTGGAAAAACCTGGAGGAATAGGGTTTTCACTGAGCCTATCAGTGCTCATCTCTCTGATATGAGTAGTTCCACTATTCCCACAAAATGCTATTCTGCCAAATGAAGTAGATATTTGGGATGCCTCCAGAACTGCAGTCTCTTGGATGGGCAGAAGGTAGGGTAAAGCATAGATCTGTTTTCGTTTATGGCTGTAGATGCCTTTTAACATTGTTCTTGGCCTTCAAAGCTTTGGCTGTAGTTTTGCTTTGAAAGGGGCAGGAGCTTCCTTCTTTGCCTTCAGAGTTACTTTGATGAAAAGCCATTCCCCCGCCCCACATTGATTAAACTGAGGAGTGCTCTACCCTGAACTACATCCCCACCCCCCACCCCTTTTGATTTTTCATTTTGAGACAGGGTCTCAGTTACCAAAGCTAGCATCTAACTTGCTGTCTGTCCTCTTCCTCTCAAGTAGCTGAGATTACAGGCAGGTGCCACCATGCCTCATATATTTTCTCTTTCTTTGATAGTAACCATTCTAATGGGTGTGGGGTACTATCTCATTCTGGTTTTGATTTGCATTTCCCTATAACCGAGTGATGTTGAGCATCCATCTGTTCCTGTTCTTATTGGTTATTTTTATATCTTCTTGGGAGAAATGTCTATTCAAGTTCTTTACTCCTTTTTAAATTGGATTGTTTTTGTTGAATTTATTGTTTTTAATGAAATCTTTGAAGTTTACTT